AGTTTCATACAATTAAGTCAAAATTTAAACGTCATTCAGAGTGAAAAGTTCCATCTGGAGCGTAGGTTTGGTATGCACACAAGCTATAAAAAAAAACTTGAGTTTTTCGTTCAGATATTTGGTATTATGCATGTAACGTCGCCACATTACGCGATATTAATTTTTCGCGGAATATTAATTAGAATCGATGTTTGTGTTCGATTTTATTTTATTATGTGACAGAAAATGTATCTACCCAGTATTTAGACATCGTATTGATAATGTAATGACTTCGAATATTATAGATCGTTGCGAAAATATACGATTTTATCATCGCGATGCTAAAAATTGTTTTAAAGGATATTGATACAAAATTATAATGATTCAAATATTCTGGGTAGTTTAAGATACTTACATTGTATTGTTTTACTTGTTAAAATGTCTGTCCATTTTAAGCCAAATTTCCATATAAAGTGGGCATTGTCCATTATACTTGCGATATTTTGAATAAAAAATATTTCTTACAAATTTTTATTTAGTTATACTAAAATATTTTTTTCAATTTTCATGTAATTTTCAAAATTTGATATATTATACTATACACACCTCTGTGACGCAAAACTTTTGTTTACAATATTGCTAACTTTACGACTGAAATATAATTTTAATGGTGTAATTTTAGTACACTTAACAATTATATAAAAGCAAATTAAAATAAAATATAATATACTATGTATAAAACAATTCGCAGTGGTCGGTCAATAGATGTGTGACCAAAAATATTCTATCTCGAGTTCCTCCGTGCTTCGGAAGGCACGTTAAGCCGTTAATCCCGGCTGCATCTGCAGTCGGTAGCACCAGCCAATCCTCACTGGCCCGCGTGGTGGGTCATGACATGACCCAAACTCCCTATTCCATCCATATGGAAGTTCTGTGTCTGAGACACTGACAACATTTGAAAATGTCAATATGGAGTCGTAAAATTTTTAACTAATATGATGATAAATAAAACTAGTTTTTCACGGGTTAATGCACGAAACTTTATTTATTTATTGACATAATTCCGACGAAGCAGCCTGTAAAGGCTGCGAAACGTCAATAAAAAATTAAATTTCGTGCATTAAGCCGTGAAAAACTAGGTTGATTTAATGAGTGATGTGCGTGAAAACCTAAGAAACAAATATAATATGATGATAGTTTTATTTTTGAAGGTAAATAATGAGTTACTTACCGATGGTAAGCGACTTTGATGGTTGCTTTTATGCGCCCTTTTAGTTTTTTTTTTTTGTGCATCTCAGCATTTCAAAGCCATAACTTCAACACGAAACGACATGCGTATCCCTCAGCGTTACATTTAACACTAAATGACGGGAAACGACTAGAATTCAGCATTTGGCTGATATATTTTTTTCAACGTCATCTGCGCTGCCATGCTCTATCTAGAGAGTAAATAATCAAAGATTGCAAGTTACACAATTGACAAAGAATTCATTATTTTTTATTTAATTTCGTTGCAAAGAATCACTTCCATTCCATTCAGCAAAGGCATAAATTGTACATACCAAAGCTCAATTTATGTAGGTACATAGGTACAATCGGAATAGCTGAATTATTTGCATTAAATATTTTGCTAAAATAATAAAAATTTAAATTAAGAAACAAAAGTCTGTTTGTCACGTTTATTGATTATAAGTTAAATTATAAAGATACCTAGGCTACAAAAAAATGAATAAAAATCTACTAACTTTAAAAAATGGTTTTGAAAACAAAGAGAATAAGAGGCTGATAGTGTAACTTTTTCTCCTTTCGCGATCTCTTAATAGTCGGGAATAAGTTTTCTTAGAACAGGACGCAGAAACGTTGGTAGGCAGCCCGCCAGATGGGCCGATGACATCACAAGAGTAGCAGGACGAAATTGGATCCGGATCGCACAACACCGAGCAAATTGGCGCACCATGGAGGAGACCTATACCCAGCAGTGGGTGGATAAAAGTTGAAGAAGAAGAAGAAGTTTTCTTAAGCTTTGGCTTTTGTTTCAATCAGAAACGTAACAAAGCAATTTCACCTTTATCTCCGCAACGTAATACAGCCATTCCTTCTTAGATAAAAATACTATATATATAATAAATACTTCTTCTTTTTGCAAAATGGCGGTCCCTTTTGTGAACTTTGCCAGACCTGAGTGATTTGGCTTGGTTGTTTGGTATTGACTCTACTTTTTTAATGTTGTGAAAGCACAATATGTATGAAAGTAACAATGTACTATTTTTATTTGGAAGTGATAAAAATAAGACGCGCGCGCGCATTCAACTCAGCTCAGAAGGAATATGTGCTTTATATTGCTGAGATAAGGGTGAATTTGCTATGCTATGTTTCTGAATGACACTTCCGACTCTGTGCTATTATGAATTGACTAAAAATAGAGAATAACCGAGCACAGCATAACTAGATTTTGATTGATCACCCTTAATTTCACGACAGCAAATAGCTTAGCTTAATCTTAAACATTAACACAGAAGAATTTTACAAAAGAGCGTGATACAAAAGATCAATTTTAAAGCTTTTTAACATTTTTCCGATTTTTTTTTACTTTTTTTTTCATTTAGTTTGAAACTTCCGAAACGACTACAACATAATGTAAAAAATATATGAAAAAATCTCTTAATTTTCGTTTTCTACTCCACTCGCTTGAAACATGCAGTTTTATCAAATTAGTTTTGCAATAGGAAAAATAAATAGTCAAATCAGTTTAATTAATTTACCTTATAACTAAAATACAGTTTTTTTTCGATAATTATTATAACATTGATTATTTATAAGAAATCTGTATAAACAATATAATAATCATCGGTGCCGTCTTTGACCTATTAAGAGGCCCTGGGCATATTAGGATAATGGGGCCCCTGTGACTTCCGTTTAGTGATTTAACAGGAACTAGGGACTTTGTATTTGATCTGAGGGGTGTCCCTATCGATCGCGGGGCCCTGGGCACTTGCCCAAAGTGCCCACTGGGAAAGACGGGTCTGATTATCATAGTTATTTTAAAGACTGTTGATTAGTAAGTAAAAGATTGAGGTATAGTCAACAAATGTAACAGGTCAAGTTATTCAAAACTATCAAATTTCTCAAACGATTTATAACTATAATAAACATCGAGCAGTTACATGCATAAAAAATATATAATGATTCACATTGCTTTGTATTTAAATCGATTATAAAAAAAATACACTTTGTGGTAACCTGTGTTGCTGACTATGCTACAATGACACAACCATGGAGCAATTACAAAGAGGATCTGCTGTATGCGATGTCGCGGAGCTTCTACTAATGTTGCCTGACGTCACACAATAGCAAGCCATCCACTAGCGTTCATTCCTGTCAGAGTTTATAATACGTACGGATTGAATGTTAGTTAATTACTTGGTCGGTCTTGCAAATCGACTACTGCGCAATCCGTAAGGATTATAGATTCCGGCAGGAATGAATGTTAGTGGATGGCCCGCTAATAGCTGTAGCCAAGATTCTGAACTCAGCGCAAGAAGCGCTGATATCACGTCGACTCCATTTTTCCTGGCGTAAACACGTGAATAGAGTTTAAAATAAATAATTTTTTTGTATCCTGTGATCCCTGCCCGGTGCCTTGCACAAGTTAATTAGTTTTAAGTAATTTCTATAGACACCTGTAATAAATTAGCGTAAAAATAATTACATAATTAAGAAAATATACCTATGCAGTTTTGTTTTACCGAGTACAAAATAAGGTGTTGCGTATCACTGTGCAAAAGTTGCAATAATAGCAGTAAAGTGGAGGAACAGAAAATATTATTTTTTCTCGTAAGTGCTTTTAACATAATTATGCATAACTTTTTCTTTTTCAATGTATTAATGTAACGACCAATTCAATTTTGCAAATAACTCCATCTAGCGTCAAATAGACATACTACATATTATACTATGCCATAAAAGGGACGTATACGTCGTAATATCTTATGTTAATCTAGCTGTAAGAAAAACTCAATGCTAAAAGTTAATAATTAAAAATTTTACTAAAAAAGTTTCTACTACATTTAGAAAATCTTTGTTTTTCCATCTACGTGTTCAATTATGCAAATAAAAGCTTGGCTCTATTATTCTTTTTATATACTGTTTTCGCATTCATTAAACATCAACCCCCTTATTAATAAACAAGGAATAAGCTTAGATTAGTTACGCCGTGTTTTGTTCATGTCACTCATATGACATTTGTCATTCAATGAACAAAGACAAAACATGGAGTAACTTATCCAAGCTTATTTTTCGTTTATTAATAAGGGGGGCCTTAGTCCAGCCCCGCCTCGTGTGTGTCATCGTGTTGACAAGTAGCTTGATTTTAGTTTACTTCTCGCCGTGATGGCGCTGTTGGCATTATGCACCTTACCCCGCTTCCCCTATCTGTGGCTATACAGAACCACCTCTTTGTATTTGCTCCGTGGATACATCGGATCATAGTTTTTTATTATACAAAAAACGCAGCTTACACGTAACAAATAATGGAAATACAACTATTTTAAATACTGTGCTGATACCATAGACACAGAAAACCATCCATACCATCTGCTACAGTGGACCAAGATCTCGTAGCGCGTGGTCAAAATTGGAACCTATTTTAGGAACGTATATATAAACCTTTCATTTATAGAGAAAGGTGCAAATAAAGCTTTTATATTTTTCATTACTCTTTCCGAGTAATTGTAAATTATAACGTTCCCATTAGTGAGGAGACTTTTCCGTATTGAATAAACCTCATTTCACCATTAATTCACCAGCAGCGCCGTCCTGAAAACGTTTACTAAGTGCTACAAGATCTTGGTCGCACTGTAAGTAAAACTGGGCCGATAAATATGATAGAGACGATACGACGAGCCCATAGTTTAGGCTGTCAGCGAAAAAGTGGCCAAACCCTCAATTATTCATATTCTGATTAGCGGCTTACGCCAATTCTGAAGTTTATGTTGAGAGAAAAAATCAATGCAAAAAGAACTTTTGCAACGCCATCTATGGACGCCTGGTGAAACAAGAGATTTTGAATTAAATTTTAACACATTTTTATTTCATTGTAGAAGATGAATCAGAATATGAATAATTGAGGGTAAGGCCACTTTTGTGCTAACAGCCTCAGTTCATCTATTTACTGTTTTTCCCCCCTTTCTCGAGCGTTGTCGATTTCATGAGAGTCGAACACATTCCAGTTCCTATGTCTATGGTTGATACACATAAATTCGTAGGTTACAAGTAAAATTAGACGAAGAACATGCGGCTATACTGCAAGATCTTGTCCATTACGCGCAGACGTTTGGGACGGCGCTCCAACTCCTGATTGTCGAATCTCTCGCCACTGAAAACATAGCCAATGTAAAACCTCCAATACCTAGGCGTAAAACATTTTCACAATATAATTGTTAAATATTTAACTTCTTGGTGAGAATTTCTCAAGAAGGGTTACCTATTTGTTTCTTAGGTTTTCACACACTTCACACATTAAATAAAACTAGTTTTAACGGGTTAATGCACGAACTTTATTTATTAATTGACGTTTCGCAGCTTTTTCAGGTCTTTTCATTATTCTGACGATGCAGACGAGTTCGTGCATTAACCCGTTAAAATTAGTTTTATTTAAGGGTTACCTACCTACAATGGGAAGAGATGGCACTACCTTGCAGCTAAGAAACACTAGAGAAAATTCGACACGCACCATTAGGGCCGCGGTAGCACAATAATGGTTAGTGCATCACGGTTCGAGTCCCGTCTGTTACCTGGCCCTACCTGGTACTACTTTTTCTAGTAAAAAAAATTTCTTTCCATATAACCACTTCATATGGCATACTCACTGGGTCAGTGACCTCGCCCGCAAGCACGCCAGGTGAGCGTAGTAAGTGGGCGTGGGGTATGAGACGGCACGCATACAACGAGAATACAGGTGGCACAGATAATAGGTGAGTTGTTCCACTTCGTCGTGGGGGATATGACCGTCGTTGCATACGGCGTGGTAACGGGTGGGCCGAGCCGTACCCTTTATGGCTTGATGCGACACCTGTGGATAGAAAAGATATATTTATGCCTGATGATTTCAACATGATACGATCATAGACATATAGAATAGACTGAGCGGTTTCTATATAAATGAAAAAGTCTTTCAAAGCTGACAGAAATAATTTCATTGTCAGTCCAGCAAATTCCTCGTAAGAAAAACATAAATTCTTATATTATTATTTCGGCACCATTTGAAATATAATAAAATAGTAAATAATAAAATTGGTTACTACCTTCAAACTCAACACGGGGTAAGTTTATCTGTATTACTTACGTGATGTATTTTGTACATTACCCTTTATTTATCCACTTATTTTTAACTTTATACCTATTATATTACAGTTTTATTTTTAGAGTTATTATTACTTTCGACGGCTTTTGCCGCATAGATAGATTCAAACTTAAAAGCGGTTAACTTAATAAACAAATATACAAAATCAAAATCTGCTCGTAGTCCAAAGCGAGTTGTTTCTATTTTCAAAACAAGAAAGGACAAAAATAAAACCTAATGGGCGCCGTCAATTAATTTTATGTTTTATTAAGTCGTGTTCTTATTCTATTGCTATCGCAAATTAAAGATAGCCTTTACTATTATCTCAGTCCATTCTCTACTGTTTCCACAATTATATTGAAATAAAATGATGTATAATAATTGTAGAAGCAGATCTGTTTATAATGTTACTAAAAAAATATTATAATAATAATAATTAATTTCGGACCCGAAATTCGGTACATAATGTGTAAGCAACAATATATATTAAATTATGTTAGTAACAATTACAGTGAAATCGCAAAAAAATTAATTAAATTCAACTAAATATTACCAGATAAAAGTCCAGTTCGCTAGCGTGGACTATATCGGTGTCCACCACAGTTCCGGGATCGACGTTCTGTGAACTATTTGGCACGAACAACCTGAACAACGACACAAGTATTTATGGTAAAGGTAATAAGGAATATTACCAAAAGACATAGGAATAATAAACGTTTATCAAATTAAAACATGTTACAATATTTTTCAACAGGTGTGAGTGTGACAAAATGTGAGACAACAGGCACTTAGTTTTAGTAGTTGCGTACTCTCTGCGCTATGTCTCAAAACGGTCAGTATGTGAAAAAAAGCTTTAAACAAAAAATATGTAAAACCCACAGAACACAGAAAGAGGTTGGGAGGGTGTGTCACAGTTATATATGAGCAAATGCTCATAACTTGATCAAAACTGTTAACTTTAAGAATTTTAAATTTCATAAATGAACTCAAAGGGATGATTATACTATAATAGGTGTTATTTACAAATTTGCAACGTTTTAGAATATTTTGTACACGACATAAATCAATATTTTTGTATGGGGATGTAATAGTGTTACTCCTTACAACTGTTCACACTATTTTTACACGATTTTAAAGTTCCTCAAGTAAATCAAAATTAACGGTGTATAATATCATCTCGGAATCTTATCGTACTAGGTATAGTGTCGTTGATTCTTAAGCGCGTATTCCACCTGACTAAATTCAGACGTTCTAAATCATTCGGTAACTAATTTAGCCAAGTGAAATAGCATTTAGGAAGTAAGGATCCTTATTAGCATCCTAAATCGGAAGAAGTGTGGCTTCTGACTGACTAAATCATTAGGATCCTAATTAGAAAACGATTAAGGAACGTGTGATAGGGTTCAGATGCTTCAGTCTCACAGCAGGCATCACTGCGTGAGGACGTTATTGTGTCTATGATTACGAATTACGCAAAAGAAAAAGAAGTTATGAGTAACACAATCGAATTGTATCAAGATATGCCGTATCTTTGGAACAAAAACGATAAAAATTACATTAAGAATATTAATATTCTTTCATCCTTGTTTTTCGTTTTTTACTTTCTTTTATCTTTATTGAGCCAACGGCCAGGCCTACGAGAAGACCAATTTTTTGTTTCAATGACAGGACTGGAGCTATTACAAAAAGTCCGAATAAATTCGCCGCGCTTGCAACTGACGGAGTCAGTAACTGAATTAGTCAAGTGTAATCAGAAGCTTCTAATTAGCTTTCTTTTTTGGATCCTAACTAGGACGTCTGAATTTAGTCAGGTGGAATACACGCTTTAAGACTCGTAACAGCCTAGAATGAATACGTCATTCGGAGTACTAATTTCAAACAAAGTGAAAAAATACCTCGTATGATGCCGTTTCTGTACGAGCAGGAACAATACTTCCGGTTTCGCGTTTGGACCGGCTAGAGTTCTATAGGCATTGTGGACCGCTTGCAGTTCACTGTTCATAACCTGTAATACGATATATATTATATATTTTTTAGACGTCATTCGTGTCCGAGTTTTCAGTTTCAAGGAGGTTTTTCGCCTACTCAAGTCTCCGGTTCGAATCCCGGTATGGTAAATGTTAGTGTGATAAATCACTAGGCTTTCTAAGATAAAAAACTATCCTTTTTCTTTCACCGGGACTCAAACTATATCTATACCAAATTTCGTCTATATCAGTTCAGCGCTTTAAGCGTGAAGGGTTAACAGGCAGACACTTTCGTATTTATAATAATAGTACGAATTGAAATTAATTATTTGAAAAACTGTTATTAGTCGTTAATAAATCTTACCACCTATAAGACTACATTTAGCGGATACGAAGTCACATAGACAGACGGACGGACAGACTGACATCAAAGTGATCCAATAAGGATTCCGTTTCAGGTACGGAAGCACCCTAAAAAACGGCAAATTACCTGGGCAAATTGTCCCTCAGATACGCCATCACGAAACACGAAAATTTTCCTCGGAAGAGCTTTCTGATTCTGGCGATACACTTTCAGGTGATCAACCATCATATCTTCAAACTCGACGATCATCTCTTTCTGCAAATAAATTCATTAAATTAATAGAAAAATAAAAGCACATTAACACTCGAGAAAAACAAGTTGAATTGAGAACCAAAATTCTTTTTTTAGAGTACGTTTTTAAAACTCATTAGAACTATGCCAAAATTAATTTCTTCGATAGAAAGCTGAAAAAAAAATTAAACAATAAAGAATCATCGAAATCTATTCATAACTAACAAGCTAACGCTGCGAACTTCGTACCGCCACAGTCTTCTCGTATTCTAATTCACTTTTCTTTTTCTTTATTATGAGTTACACAAACCTAGTCTTGACTACACAAAACAACAACAGAATTTTACAATTTGCTGCAGTCATTTGAAACCTATGTGCGTACTGTATAATGCGATTCAACTAAGAATAGGACCGACTTGGCGCTATATTGTGACGTCATAGCTGTAAATTCAAACCAAATCAGTAGAGTGAGCAAAAAAAGATTTTATTTAATAAAACTTATTTACTAAGATTAAGTGAAAAAAAAAACATCAGATTTTTTTAATAAAATTTATTTACAAGATTGAGAAAAACAATGACCGATTTTTAATAATATTTATTTATTAAGACTGTGTGAGAAAAAACATTAATCAGAATCTAGCTCTTCAATTCCGCTCCTCTCTGCACTACCGCCAGAGTATTTATGAATAATCATGCACTATTACTAGGTCACATACGAACATGCATCCTTTGTGTAAACGAAAGTTTTAAATCTGAGTTTCTGACTTTGGTTGACGATTTAGGTTATCAACCATTCATAGCCAAAGCTCAATAAATAAAAAAAACAACCAATATTAATTATCAATATGTTATTGTTTGTTTACAAATGTTTGGTTTTTATTCTAGAATTAGCCGAGTGCTAAAAAAGAGTTCCAAGTCTTTTTTGCAAACCCTACTTTTCAAGCGACATTAGACAGATGGAGGACATTGGCTTTCCTATTCTTATTTGAATCGCACTATACATACATTAAGGCAATTCATTTCTATTTAGTGCGACCAAGGTCTTGTGGTACTTACATGACATTGACAGGAGGGAGCTGCTGGTGAATGAGTATGACTATAGTCTGTTTTTTAATCTCAGAGATAAAAATGACATTACCTGTGTTGCCGGTATATTGCAGTTCTTAAATAGTGATGTACTACTATCGGAAATTAACGCTGATAAAATATTTAACATCGTTTTTTATTTATAACAATTTTAGTAAGCATTATCGGAACTGGATTCCCAGTTATGAGAAAGTCTATGAGCCACAGCGACCGCTCGCTACCTAGCAGCCTGTCTGCCTGTATGTTGTTTCTTTGATATATATATGATTTTTGACTTGAAAATCCAAAATTTCTATTTAAAAGTAAAAAATGATATTGAAACGTGGAACAGATTTTAATTTTTGATCGGTATACGAATATGTTTTAATCTTGACCCCGCACTACTTCCAAATCATATTAGTACCCACCCGATTTCATGATTTCGTGTAAATCGGATACTATTTTTTCAGTTCCAGTTTAAATTTTGAAGTCAGTTTTAATATTTTGATTAAAAATAATTTTTATTTTATGTTTTAGTGTAAAGCGCCTTTTCATGTACTTACATAATTACATAAAAATCTCTAAAAAAGACGTATGCAAAGTATCATGAAAATTACAACGCTCATAAATAAAAACTACTGGGCCAAACTGAATAAAATTTTCACGGGACCAGATGGCGACTATTCTGAATTGGACAAAAAAGAAATTACGAAAATCGGATTAGAAATCATATGTACATACATTAAAAAAAGACCAAAATTGATACCAACAACCACCTACATTATTAAGAATAAGATTTACAGGGAGATTTTATAATAAGATAAGCATATTATATTAATCAGATATGATTTTTCTAAAACGTCATCATCAGACTCGGCTTCTATTTCTATAATAAAAGTTTGGTAATGTCGACTATATGACCCAGTTGACCGTTTTTATTTAAAGAAAAAACGGCGTATATTAATATGCAACACATAAAATATTATATACTGAAAAAGAGTGCTATCATTTATAAAATTTTGGGCAATAAAAATAATAATAAAAACTTATTTAAAAACCCGATATCGCGGGGTACAACACTACATATAATAAAAGCTGGTATCATTACGTGGAAACTTGACATTTGCATGTGTTATTTTTGTCCCTAAAATGAAAAAACAGACCATAAGTTCCTAAAATCCCCTCACTAAAGGGAACGTTATATTTTATTAATCGGAAAGAATTATTGGGAATATAAAAGTATTTATATCTTCTTAACATTAGTTCTGTTTTCAGCTACGTGCCACATGATCTTGGTCGCTCTGTATATAGATAGAAGATAGATTAACGTAATAATCGCGTAACGACAACACAAATACATAGTAATACGGACGAAGAGAGTAACTCCGCTTTGAAGTTTGTTAAAAATCTTAGAATAAAACAAAAAGGGAGGATACGGTACGCTCATACTGGCATCCAATAAAATATGATCTGACTCAACTACATAAGCAACTCTCATGTACGCACACTTCTGTAAATAAACATTCAACCGAGCGAGCGAGACAGAAGTGTACGCAGCGCGAGCGAAACGGCGAGTCTGTGGCGCTTGGCTTGGCGACTGCGTTTTCTTTTCTCTCTCTACAAATGGCTGAGCTGTATTGTTGTCCTTTTCTTGATAACAAATGGCGAACCAGTAACTAACATTCATGGCATGTTTTGTGTGTATGTGTTATTTGATCTTGAACTATTTGTATTCTTTATAAAAGCATCGAAGGCATTCTTTTATTTTTATAACACCGAATATACGCAATATTGTTATATTGAGTTCAGATGCATCGTGTGCGGATGTCCAATTGTGACTAAAGCGAATTGTGGTAATGCACCACAATATAAGCGGATCAGTTTTGAGCCGGAGTGACGTACCTTCCCTTTTTATTTTAATCTAAGTTAAAAATTTGAATCTTTTTTTATGAAATACTAAACAAAATTAAATATGATTGTAATAAAATAAATCAATACATACCTTTGGCGTTTGAATGCTAAGTTCAATGTTGTACATGAAACATTTCGTATCGATTGAAGCTGTTACAGCCGCGATACTGGGTATAGCACTCTGTAATAAGTGTGTTATTATTTTTACTACCATTTAAGCTGATCTTAGCAAAGACATGCCATTAATATTATTTTTTTCATTGGAAAAAAATTAATACATTAGATTAATTCAATAAATTAAATACACACACATTGGGCCTAATACTCGTATGATTATCTAAACATAATTAGACCATATTTCATCCTTATGAGAAGAAAGGAGAAACTGCTATCAAATTTAGTTTGAAGTTTAGAGAACTAGAATTGGCTGAAATTCTGCCAATAAGTAACCCCTAGTTAAAATAATTAATATTTAGTAAAAGTATTTATTTTTATGTAATGGTAGTGTATTTCAAAGTAAAGAGATTGAAAACATTTTAACGCTTACAATTGTATATATCATGTCGTTTGTAAATTCATTAGTGCTTATCTCGCCAACAAACTGTTTGCATACAGTTTAGCGAATATAATAAGTATAATTGGCATATAAAGGAGAAATGTCGAGGAGCTCGATGGCGCAGGTGGTTAGCGCGTTCGAACTGCGATCGTGGAAGTTAAGCAACTTTCGCAATGGTCGGTTATTAGATGTTTTATGTAAACTTATTATATTTGTTTCTTAGGTTTTGACGCACATCACTCACTAAATAAAACTAGTTTTTACGGGTTAATGCACGAAACTTTATTTATTTATTGACGTTTCGTAGCCTTTACAGGCTACGTCGTCAGAATCAAACTTTTATTAAAAAGTTTGATTCTGTGAGTTTCGTGCATTAACCCGTAAAAACTAGTTTTATTCAAACTTATTATCTTAAATGGAATTAATTCGGAAGGCACGTTAAGCCGTTGGTCCTGGCTGCATTTGCAGTCGTTTGCACCCACCAATCCGCACTCGACCCGCGTGATGGGACACGCAAGGCCCATCTCTCGATTCCGTATATTAGGGAGGTTTGCCCCAGCAGTGGGGACATTAATAGACTGATGTTGATGATGATGATGATGAAAGGAGGAATAAGTAAATAAATTACTTGATCTGGAGACGGATGCGTGACGTCAGCGCCTACAACCATGACTCCACCGTCCCTGATACACTTCGGTATGCTTCGCCCATCTAATACTTGGTTTATGCCCATCAACTTCGAATTAACCTGTGAACAATAAATTACAAAAAGCAATCTATCCTACTTATATTATAAATGTGACAATTAGTATGTTTGTGTGCGTTACTAAATCCAGCAAAAACGGCGCAGCGGATTTGGATGAAATTTGGCATACATATAGTTTATTACCTGAATTAGGCGGAGGATACTCTTACGCCAGATAAAATGGTAGGTTCCTGAGGTATTCTCAAAAAACTGAAGTTAACGCGGGCGAAATCGCAACCGCCCACTAGTACTATATATTTATATTATTAAGCTGAAGAATTCGTTTGTTTGGATGGCTAAACATGCTATATCAGAAATTAATTAAATAGAACTAGTTCAAATTGAAAACTTTTTTGTTTTGGATAGTCTACTTATTAGGAAGGCTTTATAATATCACGCTACGACTAATATGAGCGAAGCATAAATGAAACCTGTTGCGACAACTCGAAAAACATTTTTTTTTTTGATACCTTTCGTTGCGTGCGTACGCGGCGTAAAGAGTTAACTTTACTTTAAAAGTTAAGAAAAACTATATTACCCGTTTTAACAGAGGCCCAACTGTTTTACTTTTACTCCTTTCATTCGATATTTGGGAAAGAGATTAGCTTATGTCACATTTTCACTTGCTAGGAGTTTGAAGGGTGTCGCAGTAGGAGTCAAAATTATGTATTTGAATCAGAACAAGAACTAAAGCAAAGTAAGAGTTTAAATTCAACTAATAAAGTCGACTCATACATTCATCGTCAAAAAAAATCGCATCTCCGCTATAACTTTCAAGCCCTTAACACACGCATGTAGATCCACCAATATAGGCGTAATTTGAAAGCCCATTAAAATAAACTTAAAAAAAAAACATTTATTTATTCATTTCGTTAAAATAAGCTTGATACCACAGATGTGACTTTAAAAAATTGGGGTAACGCAAGGTTTTAGATAAGTTTTAAGAACCTTTTTTTTGTGTAATTAATCTGTTTTTAACACGTTTTTATTAGGTCGACTTTTATGCAACTAACTATGTAATAAAATCTAAGAATCTGAATTACACACACTTCTAATTCTTGTATCATCATGAAACTTGGCAATTATATTTAGATTAGTAGACCATACAATATTACGGTACTGGAAGGTGGCTGATGGAACATTGGACTGCCTACTAGTAAACATATCGAGTTTGGGCTCATTAGATTCGTCTTAACATATTCTATTCATTTTTCCTGATGACTGAAATTAAAAAGAGTAAATAAATTAATAGTTTAAAAAGACGACCCACGCTTTATCCTTTATATATGTATGTTAAAATGAACTATAAACATGGCTAACTCTAAGGCCCTAATGAAGTAAAACAGAGAGTTACTTGTTGCCGGAATCTCTGTTTCCAGTCACCTACAATCTGGGGCTCTTCAAGTAGCGAGTGAATCGGTTTCTTCTAGGCAAGCGCGTCCCACCTTAGGCTGCTACGTCGCTCATCATCGTAAACCTATCAAGCCGTCAAGCGTAAACCTATTTAATGTAAAAAAAGAGTATATTTTATTTATTTTGGCTTTTTAGTGCAGTAAATAAAATCGTGTTTTTAGTTATTTTTTAAAAAATAATTTTTGATTAAGGCTTAATTGAAGATTTTTATATTGTTTTGAAGACTTCATTGTTTTAGCACTGTTCCAATAATAATATAATAATAATATAATATAATATAATTTATTTCCAGTAAGAGTTGATTTACAATTTAACTTATAAGGCTAAAACAGTACTAATATCTCTAACATAATTACATATTTATCTGCTGCCGAGCTAGGCAAAAATGCCTGTATTATAAAAAATAAAACTTAATTTTATTGTTTTTAAGTTTATTTAATGGTCTTTCAAATGACACCAATATTGGTGTGAATAAATGCGTGTGTTGGGTTATTATAATAACGCTTGAAAGTTATTTTTGCGGAGGTGCGTTTCTTTTTGACGCCGTGTGGATATTATAGCTATTAATGGGCTTGTTACCATGTACCTTGTTTTTTATGAGTCTCCGATATCGGATCGGCACTGTTGCAAGCGTCATGATCACGGAATAACTGAAGTAATTGCTGGTAGATGTTATTGGCAGACATATCGGTCCACCCTCTAACGTCGTCTTTTATTGCGTTCGATACCTCTACCACTGGTAACATTCTCATTATTCACTCGCACCAGGAGCTCTACTCTCTCTCCGAAACAAAATTTCGGCAACAAACGAAATTTAAACGAAATTTCAGCTGTTTCTGAAAATAGCTAAACAATAATACAAACTTACCTTTAAAAGTATATTCTTTACCGTCTGTGCATTCATCCTAGTCTCTGCTGTCTGTTCTTTTATACATTGAGTGAGTATTCCAACATCACGTTCCGCCAATTGTTTTACCTGTCAAACAATGCATATTTTAATGGTATTAACTTGTTTAAAAAACCTGATAAAAAAATCTTTAACCAAATCGGATTAAGCAATACCTAGAACACTGAAATATTTCGGACCAATTTCACTTTTAAAAAATTGAGGCTAGAATTCTAATATAATTATACATTATATTGACGATTAATACATGAATATAAACTTAATAAGCACTAACATTTTATTTTCGTCTCCTTAATATAACCATTTAAATTTAACTACATTAATCCACAAAATGATTTTCATTACCGATTCCCATACATTATTAAAATTTGTCAAGTAGGGGGATACGAGTGCCAGGTAATAACTGACGATGTTCTCACCCTATGATAATAATCCCTTCCTCTGCTAGAAACGATGATGAATAGGAATTTCACTTCTTTCTCCAACGCAGAGAACAGAACAGTCTGCAACTCACGCATGTTGACATTAGGTCGAACCAATGATGGAGTAGATACAGCCATGCCCATCTGCCGTCCCATTTTCATCATCTAAAAAAATTTACAATTCAAAGGATAATCTTGTCGCCCGTTGTAATTCAAGAATACTATCAAGAAAGGCCGATGATTGAGGCTAGAAGAATCTTTCTTTTTCCAAAGCAAAATACACATAAGGTTTGGTTAATTTTGAGAAACGTAATATTGAATTTTTCTCGAGTCCTACTGTCTCGGTAAGTATCCCAACCTCAGACGCATTTCTTACCGGGTCGGTGCGGTCTCGTTTTGATTTTTGGTTCTGTACCGAATCTGTAGATTCTTTACCGAGAATCACTTCCTAACCGGCTCGGTTTGGATGCGGTATCGTTTCGTTTTGTACGGTTTTGTTTTGGGCGGAAGATGCGAGTCGAATTGTTCGGTAGAACTGAGTACAGAGCTGTGTATCCGCTCAGTAAAAAAATCTGCACCGAAACGACTCGGTAAGGAAGCTCTCATTTAATTACATGCAATCGGTAAAAAAATCTGTAGATTCGGTACAAAACGAAAACGAAACTAGCCTGCACTGACCCAATAATGTGCGCTTTTATTGAGCCTTTGTTTAATAACAAAATACAAATGCTCACATTAAAATTTTAAAATTTACATGAAAGTGCACTTTACGCCCTCGGGTGAAGGTACAAAATGTATACCGACGCCTGACAGAATAATGCTCTCGTAGTCTCATAACATTATTAACAACTCGTCTGAGGCCGCGTTGTTTCATCTACAGTTAAATTTGATTATAGTTAAATCCTATAGAAAAAATAACCATTTGTCAAACTTTAAAAAATTCACTGCATTTATCGTGGCATTAACTATAGTAAAGTTTTGATATCACAGTAACTTACCATATCTATAATGTTGTCAAAGTTGCATCTTCTCGAATCACACTCTAGCGCAATGAAACCCCACGATTGCAAAGCTTCGGGGCGATGCACCTGATTAGCTTGCCATTGGCCTTTCCTACAAATAACCACAAACACGGGTCATTTACACCTCCGATTTTCGAACTGAATAGGTGTGTCCAGACTAGTGATGTAAAATGAAAAAAAAACTTAAGTCTGCTCTTTTTTTTAAGATAGCAGTTTTTGTAAAACTAAATTTTAAATTATGGTATGTTATGTTTGATTTCACATATATTGCTTAAAAATTTAACGTTCTTCAAATGCCTTCTGTTCTCCCCCACTCTCTTTCTGCTGCATATCAATGACTTGATTCCTCTTGGGAATATTCATTGCTATGCAGACGATAGTACAGTGCATGCGGGGGGGGTATCTCGGACAAGCAACGGCTGGGCTGGCGGTAACCAAGGAGAAACGGGAGAATCTTGTCATTTAACTCAATCAGGCTTTGTACCACATTTCCGAATGGGGTACCAGGAACTTGGTTGAGTTCAATGCCAAGAAAACTCAGGCTTATTCAATGTTTGTTAATTTTGATAGGTCCGACAAATGACTCCACCCCACCTGATGTTAAGTGAAGGTGAAGTCTAGACGCGAAGATAGCTGATACAGCAGTTCTACCTGCCAAACCAGCCATCCTCACCCTGCCGGCCTGCATGTTGCTTCTTCACGCCTCTTTTAAAGGATCCCAGGTCATAAGAGGGAGGGAACACGTGAGCGGGCAGATCATTCCATTTACGGATAGCGCGACAAAGAAATGAGTCACCAAATTTCTTTGTACGCGTTGGAATTGTGGCTACAGTAAGGCGGTGACAACGTAGGCCAGCGCGCGTGGTCCTCTGAAGGAAAGGGGAAGGTGGGATAAGAGAGAATAACTCCTCAGAACACTCGTCGTGGTACAGACGATAGAACGCGCTTAGTGACGCCACGTCAGGGCGTAATTGAAGAAGCTCAAGGTGTTTAGTCACCTCCTCATCGCCTATGATGCGGATCGCGCGCCGCTGTCACCTATCCAAAGCATCGAGCAAGTACTTAAAAGGGTGCAAACAATATTCCACGCAGGACCGCACTTGCGTTTTGCACAGTTGATCGGGCGTGAAAAAACGCCGCACCTTGTTCAGGTCTCAGAGTTTGCGTGAAGCTGTTTTGATCACGATTTCGATGTAGTCCTTTGGATTCAGGTCTGAGCGAACTTCCAGACCGAGCATGGAAATGTTACTTTGTAGCGGTAGTGTTGTGCCCTGAAGAGAGGGAAGGGGAAGGAATAGCGATGTTTTTGCCGCGAAAGCGCAAGCCTGAGTTTTCTTGTCATTGAACTCAACCAAGTTCCTGGTACCCCATTCGGAAATGTGGTCCAAAGCCTGATTGAGTTCAATGACAAGATTCTCCCGTTTCTCCTTGGTTACCGCCAGCCCAGCCGATGCTTGTCCGAGATACCCCGCATGCACTGTACTATCGTCTGCATAGCAATGAATATTCTCAAGAGGAATCAAGTCATTGATATGCAGCAGAAAGAGAGTGGGGGATAGGATGGATCCCTGGGGAACGCCGGCATTCACTGACATGAACCGCAAACTGCTACCATCCGTAAGGACACGAATTCTACGTTCATGTAGGAAGTCAGCTACCCAAGAACGGAACTGGGCTGGCAGACCGTATGCCGGAAGCTTGGAGAGAAGGCTTTTGTGCCAGACCCTGACGAACACCTTGGCAAAGTCAAGGCTGATAGCCAACGACTCGCCACGCTTGTCGATAACCTCACCCCAAATATGAGTTAAGTACGCCAGTAGTTTCAGATCGCCAGGGATAAACTGACCACGACGCGGAGCGCACGCCGCTCATACGCACGCACCTATACTTCGTCTGCTCGCGCCGATATAATTTAATACGAAACCTCTTTTCATTTTACTTCTTCTTCTGATTTTATCCGTGGTAGAAAAATACCACCATCGCCTACACTAAGGAACCCATTTTCTTCATGTTCCTCTCCAATTACTGAAGGTTGGACATCAGCCTTGAAAACCTCGCTTTGTCCCTGGCGAGGTGAAACAATTCCGCGGCGCTCTTGACACCGGTCCACTCGCGGATGTTTCGAAGCCACGACTTTTTCCGACGGCCTACTCGACGTTTCCCCGCAATTTTGCCCATCATAATGAGTTGCAGTAAATCTTATCTCTCGTGTCTGAAGACATGACCGAGGTAGGCAACTTTTCTTGTTTTAATGGTCTGTCAACATGCCGCTGAGCTCCGTGAAAAATGCGAAATAAATACTTATAGTATGTAAAAGGACGTTTTTTCACAGATATTCAATGTTTGTTAATTTAACGCATTTGAAGCAAATTGTGTTATAATACTTACTATAACCTGATTTAATAGAAAATATTTGTGTTATTCAAATGCATGGTCAGTAATATAGCCGCCTCTTTTCCTCGCGGTCCGTACCTGCTATATAGCTAAGAGCGCATTAAGAATTGCGCGTAGAGTCAAAGAAATAAAGTCTATATTATTCCGCATATAGCAATAAGTCGTAAGATTTTACGAGCTTACATTTCGGACTGTCATAACTCTTTGAGGTGTAGCGTATATTTATTAATTAATTAACTTTTTCTTATTTTTGTTACCATTGTAATTTCATTTCTGATAAATTTTACTTTAAAAATGTTTATGTCATTAAAATAATTTAACTCTAAAATAATTCGCACAAGCAAGAACGGGTGCGCGCGCTACTATAGCAAAACGATTCGCACTTGACCGTTTCTGTTACCGCAATCTTTTGTTCTCCACATTCCTGCAGACATTCATATTTCGTGCGCCGGGCCAGTGCATTTACCGATCCCGCGGCGAATGCATGTCCGTCCTCGCTCTGCCCCCGACTTACGCGCTATCGCAATTATTTATTTTCTTATCTGTTCTTAAACTTTTAACTTTACTATATGTTCTGCTTGTGTCTGTGCCCGTGATTTCTTCTGTTTTTATTTTTATGTGTATGTGGGAAACTGTGGAACTTCAATAGACTGTTTTACCGAATTTTATTCGTTTCATTCCATATCCGCGTATAGTTTTCCATAGACGAATGCGTCTTAATTAAGACCATATATAGTGTACTATAAAGGTGATTTTTAATGTTTAAATAATGCCTTATACTGTTTAGACTACGCGATCATCTTACGGAGCTCCGTGGATCGTCCAATGTACCTTTTGGACAGGTTTCAGGCATGATTTTGTTTGTGTTGGTGTATCTAGGGTAGTTAATTATTTAATATCGTTGTATGCGTGTGGTATACAAGATAAAAACGTTTATCTGGCTCTGCACTGATCCCATGAGGATATAAGGATGTAGCGATAATTTTCAGAAATTCGAGGAGCTCGATGGTTCAAGTGGTTAGCGCGTTCGGCTGCTATCGTAGAAGTGAAGCAACTTTCGCAGAGGTCGGTCATTGGATGGGTGACCAAAAATGATGGGTGATCCCGGCTGCATCTTCAGTCGTCAGCACCCACCAATCCGCACTGGGCCCGCGTGGTGGGTCACGGCCCAATTTCCCTATTCCAACTATAGGGAAGGCCTATTAATGTGCCCCAGCAATGGGCACATTAATAGGCTGATGATGATGAGATGCTTTACTACAGGACAAAGCATACTGTATTTCATTTTCATTTCATTTCACTAACCTGGGTTCAATTATCTGCCCCCCACCGCAATCCAGTTTCGGTGGTATCAAAATTTTAGCTTTCACTGGATAGAACTCATTAGATATCTTCAATCCGAATTTTTGGAACGTTGGGTTGTTCGAGTAATTCATCTGAAAAATATGGGTATTAAAGACAGTTCATTTTTTACACCGTATTGTTGAACAACTTCAAACAGATCTAAACAGGTTAAGTAAAAACGTATTTTATGTCGCAGGGAAGTGAGGATACTGGCGATTCATCGAAATCCATAGCGATACCAAGAATTCGATATTTTTACTAAAAATATTTAGTGATATGTTAAAATACTAAATTATGGCTAGTAAAATGACAGAAAAGCGGATACATACTGCCAAATAGGGCAGTATAAAATTCGAGCCACGCATTTCTATTTATCTCTCTAGTACTAAATCAGGCATTAGAGGAAAAGCGGCGCTTGTTATTCGATAAATTATTACGCTGCAGATTTCTTAATTTCCCTACGACATGTATCGCTTTAATATAAACAGCAAAAAATTGCATAAAATATATGTGCAAGTATTATTTGAATAGTATATTCAAAGTAGAAATTGAATAAAGGTTATGTTTTGTAATTAAAGTGAGAAGACGAGAATTCTAAGTATTATGTTCAGCGAGGGAAATCGTAGTGTACAAGGCAATGGCACATTGTCATGAGAGTCAAGTCAGCCGCGCGAAGTTCGATTTTTGCCCAATTTCGTACCTTAGTACAAATTATCTCAAAAAACATCCAAAATTATACTTAAAAAGAATCATCATCAAAATCTCAATAAATTAAATAAAAAATACTGAAAATCTGAATTAAAATGGGGAATTTGTGTATAAAGAGACGTTGTCACTTAGACGCAATTTGTCATTGACTGACAGATGATAGCTCATACTGTTGGTTTAAATTTATTTCTTTGATTGTGGTACTGCCCTACTAAGCGCAAAAGAAATTTGTTTTTTATGGCATCGGATAGCTTAGAAAAATACGCATCTATTGAACTACGAGTAAGCCTTGTAGCGGTATGTTATTTAAGAGGCATAGAAAAAACGTAAAGAAAGCTTTCTCTATCTCACTTTTACCTTAAATTACTAAGGATATTAGATGTATATCAGTATAACGTAGGGAACCAGCCATGTATTTGAATACCGCCAAATCTTTAAAAAACAGGAGCATTTAACGTACTTCGTGTTCTAAGCCAACAAGAGGCAAAATGTGAATTACCGCTACAACGCTAAGTACTTTTGTGCTTACTTGATCCTCAAATCATGAGATACTACTAATAATTGTAAACAAGTGATAATCTTATGATTACTGTGTTAAATTAGTGAAATTAATGTGTTCCGCAGTTAAATTGTGTGTTTTGACAATCAGGTAGGTAAGTGATAATAAAGTTAAGAGTATAATTTGCATGTTAATTTTGGTAAAAGTAACATACTCGTAACCTCTTTGCGGTCGACATTTTGGTGTCTGAATTTTTGTACACGATTAATATCGCAGATCAATGGATTTTCTATAAATAACTTAATAATCAAGTAGGTATAGCAGAGGTAGAACTATGGTTGAGTTTGTTATACTCTTTAATTTTACGGTTAAACTGTCAATCAGACGATACCTACGTAAACCTTTCTTGCGGCCCAGCCGGCGTGCGCGCGCTGTTGCATTGTGAACTTTATTAGCTAGTCCACAAAGTACCTACCAGATTTTCATATTTTGCGGCCCATATTTTTGACTGATTAGAATTCATAGAACACGTTTCTTTATTAAATATGTTTGTTTAAGATTATTAATAATAAAAGACTTTTTAAGTGCACTTTGATTTGTTTATTTCTTTATAAGAATATGTACTATATTCGACTGAAAATTCATATTCTTTTGTATACAAGCTTTTTTGGAGAAAAGCTAACCAAAAGGCGGCAACTCAAATCTTAAGTTTGTAATTACTAAGCGGTGTAGCAGTATCTCATAATTAAGGCATTTCCACATATATTTTACATATTTAAAGTATTGTGAGAGAAAACCTACCAATATTATATATAAATCCCTTATCTAATAGACAAGTCCGTCCGTCCGTCCGTGGTGCTGTTTCAGCGGCCAAACCGTAAGAGATAGATAAAGAGAATGTTTAAGTTATAAGTTGAGAATAGTCTGATAAGACTACAAACCGGATGTGAGTAACGTAGCACTTCCGGTTTTCGAGAAATCACGTGATTTCTATTTCAAACGAAACCACACAAAACTCCGAAGTTCTCAATTAATTAAATATTTTTTTTTTTGTGAACATTGGGTTCACTGGTTTGCTAGTTACATTTAATAACCCAAAATAACAATGTATAAATTAACGAAAAAACGAATTTTACATAACGTCAATTATCTCAAAACTAGCTTTCACTGAGGTACCGCTTTTGTGTTTAGTAGAGCAGGGTAGGTTGTATCAAATCACGTGAATTCCGTAGCTAATGTGTTATTTACCATTTACCATAATATAGTCTCTGTTGCCATTAATTTAAATGTTTTAAGGATGTTTTGGGGTGGTACAATAAACTCCTTTACATATTTTTACACTAATACATATATATATATATATATATATATAAACATATATATATGCATAATAAAATTTGAGGTACAAAATTGGTAAAAACTCGACACAAAAGTGTATAAATACTCAGTAACATCTCATTGTCTTTCATAGCAGAAACTACATTTAAAAGTCTCGGCAAAACCTCCAAATACAATGGACTTGGCATTTGTTCTTGGGACTCTTATCTAAATCGAATCGAAAAAATATCTAATAGAGAGTGAAAACAAACTGAGGATTTAGCGGATATACTAACAGTAACTTTTAACTATGTTTAGGATCAGCGTTATGTTTTTACTCACGTTCCTTATAACCTCTTCTATTTTTCTTTTGCGCTCATCAGGAGGAGTAGCCGCTTGTCTGACCATGGTCGCTAGTTGCCTCTCATTCAATTGCTTATTTTGAGCCTGTATTTGAAAATATAATTATCAATAACCAAAATCATATAAATAAAATATACAGATTTTTTTGTAATTTTACAATGTAAGCCTAAGTACCGCACTGAGAGACGATTGATGTATTGACGAAAGTTTGACTAAGTAAATGGTGTCATTATCTTTGCAATAGCAGAAGTGTAAGACAGCACGGCATCTTGACAAACATTTAACTTTATTGACGTCTCTAAGAGCGGCTGGTAATTCCCCTTACGAAAAAATCTGATTTTAAAAAATAAAGCCCTGCAATGACGTAGTTAATTTATTCACAATGTTTAATTATAAAATTCGCATTGCTAAAATCGCAAGTATATTTCACTTTACTATGCTGTGCACCTACTATAAATATTTTTCTCTACGAGGATGCTTCATAAACGTAGTTAACTAATGGCCAAAAATATAAAGCAAAGGCCTATAGCGCTACTTGGGTATTTGAATAAGCGCAATAAATAATAAAAATAGCATGAGCTTTAAAATCGTGATAGAACACTAACTTTTCTCTATATGGCCAGTTTAATCTTCATGATTATTTAACATATTTTATAATATCTATGAATATGTATTTATTTAATGTGATACACATTACAAATAAATACAGTTTTATTTCCAAAATTTTCCAAGATATTCTGTCTATGTACTATGCATATTCTATTTCTAAATCAACTGAATAGTATACCTTTACGTTATTAATGGAAACAAGGAAGCTTTAGTCTTTACGGAAACGAACTTGTATTGACAAAAGCTAAGCTTTTGCTGTCATTGACCGAATGTATTGTTATGGTTACACCAGCCAATGCCAGCCTCCTTGCACGTGCGAAGCAGGTTTCTAGGCTCGTCTTTTGTAAGCGATTGTGTCATAAAGAAAGCGCTCCACTAACTCGTTTCCGTGGATAATGCCTATCTGTATTCTCATTGCAGTGTGCAATTTCCCAACTCAACTCAGTGAACAAAAAAATTGGACCACCAATGACACCATTTCCCGAGGCTTCGTCTAATTGATTATAGTTGACAATTAAAAACTAACATAATTAATTAATAAATTATTAATTATAATAAACATGATTATAGCAAATAACCATATATCTCTCAAACTTTATACTAGAGCACTTTAACTAATTACATTAAGGTAAGAGTCTTAGTAAAAAAATATTAAAGCTGTCAATTCCCAAAAAATAGATAATAAGTGGTAAAAGGCGAATGGTGCCCCAGTTTTTTAGTCCACCTGTATTAAAAATTAAAAAATTATCGTCTACTTACTAACAACTAACAAGCCAGATGAGTGGTGTTGCGTGCATAAAAAATATATTGCATGTAAGTCAAACTTGAAACGTGGACGTAAACAAAAGTTCGGTCGCCTCTAAGAAACAGTTATATCGAAAGCGAGTGCTCTGCGCCCAACGAGATGGAATAATACCTTATTCTTGGCTGTTCAAACTGCCAACCATGACTCTTTCTCCACTATTAAGTGGTACATAAAAGAGATTAAAAAAAATCTTTCTCGCTAACTCGTTTCTTGTTTGTAGAAAAGATGGCACTTAAGCGTATAGCGTATGTACACTGTACATAGGTAATAATTATGATGGTGAGCTATGACTATAGATTCTATGAGTATTGCTAAAGGTAGCTGGATACATAGGCGATTAAAAGCGGCGCCAGTTACTCGACTTCAGCGGCTGAATTGGGAAGACCACAGACCTAGATTTAAGAAGACGACGCATGTGCTTCAACTTGTATGAAAACCGAGTGTCATAGAAGATATTATACGGTGAAAAAGCATGGTCCCAGGCCGCCTGTTTCAATTCTCTTGTTAAAAAAACATAATTTGGCACATGTAGACTATTTTTTCAAATCGATAGACGTCGGATATCGAGAACGGTGGCGAAGAAATAAAGGAATCAATGTCACTCTTTTGACATGTTTTTGGCACGCGACGTACATGCACTTGCGGTATCCATTTCGATCTATGTCTGTGGGAAAAACAGTGTATATTCGGAGCTAATGCAAATATGTGTGTCAAGGTAAACGCTCACGCTTATTTTTTTTAAATTTGTTATCACCAATGCAAAAGAAAAAAAAGAGCGCGAAGCATTTCAAAATCTTCGGCGGTCAGAAATATCTAAATAAAATCGTAAGCGATAGCGATAACCACATCAATCCCGATAGGCGGTAGGCCTTCAGGCTCCGTCGCATTACTTTCATCATCACCATCGTACTATAAGTTGATTTTACAATTACGTGGTTTCCGTGGCCGAGTGGTTTGTACGCCAGGTTTGCCAGGTTTCATGGTGTCGCCGACTCGAGAGGTCCCGGGTTCGAATCCCGGTGGGGGCAGATGTTTGTGTGATGAATACGAGCATTATTTGTACTCCAGTCATGAATGTTTATTATGTATTTCTATATAAATATACAAGTATACATGTACAGTATATGTATTCTATCCGTTACCCTAGCATCCCATAACACAAGCCTTACAGTGCTTACTTTGGGGCTAGGCTAATTGGTGTTAGTGTTGGAAATATTTATTTATTATTATTATTTATTATTTACGAAAAAAACTGTTGCGAAAACGGCGCGGCGGCATTTAAGAACAATTTCCGCATGTTTTTCATACTTTCGCGACCACAGCATTGCTTTCGTGAAGATGATTTTAAAATCATTCTCTACTCGAATATTTATATTTTCGACGTGTTACGTGTTTCAAAACGATTACAAAAGCCTTCACTAAAATAATCAGTTTCGCAACGGTAATTTCGTAAATAAATTTCGTAAATCTTAAATCAGATACGTCTACTCGGTTATGAAAGGTGACGCTCAACTTACAACAAAACAGATTCACCAGTTCCCGTAGCATGAGCACCACAATTTACACTCACGTTTTTATCGCGTCTAACTGTCAAACTCCGTAGTAATTTGACAATTGAGCGTGATAAAAACGAGTTATATATCAAAGCGCGGTGCTCATGCTAGGGGGGTATTCTTGCTAGTCATCACTTGAGGTGTAACTTGGTCCATCGACTTTCAATTAGGGGCCAAATTGTGCAACTTCTTCGCTTTCTGCCATCCCTTATATTTCATAGCGGAAAAATATATATAGATACCTTGAGTTTTGAATGGAGAAACATGGACACATAAAAACAAGTACTCAAAATCTCGCTCAAAGAGTATCGGAAGCAAAATAACGCACATTCGTCCATTGTGCGTCATTTTCAAACACGTCTGTTTGAAAATTCACGCTCGTATACAATCACGGAGCACCCCCACTAGAGTCCGCATACAAGGGCAAGCGCTTACGCCAAGCTTAAGTAGTATATTACCTATGCGTGAGGCACGCCTACAGACGTCGCGATACATCGTTTCATTCGGTAACCGAGCATTGGTCGAACTGCTTCTCTCGTTTTCGTGTTAAAAAACTGTAAAAAATGCCGTACTGTGCAATTAAATTGTGTGGAAAGTCGAGTACAACTTCCAGTCTTCAAAAAAATAGTATTACTTTTTACTGGATAGTTTAAATGCATTACAAAAAGACAAAAATACTGTTATATTAAATTGCTGTTAATGTATTTATTTTTTGCTGAACGCGTTGATGTCTTTTTACACTATCCCTTTCTCGCATGGGCTACATCATATATGCTATCTCGCTCTCACACCGGCACGTGTATTGCTAGTGACTCAAGACGCAGCTCATGTCTCAACGCGTAAGTTTGTCGATAAGTTTGTCAGCTATGGAAATGGAAAAAATAAATAAAAACTATTTATTTCATCGTATACAATAATAGATGTCATAAGTATACAACCAACAGTTTTTATTTGATTGAAGTCAAACATATCCTAATAAAATTTTAAAAACGCGAAAGGAGAATGGTCATTTTACTTTGGGAGTTGGGCTAAGTTTTTTTTAATGCGTCTTATTGGAATAAGTGTACAACAATAGGGAATCAGGTGTATATTGCGTAGGAAAAATATCATTAGAAACTTAAGTAGTGGTTTAAAGAAAATATTAAATTACGTAAGCATTTTAAGGTTATGTCATATTTAGATTCGATTAAATTCGATATTTATACCATACTTAATTATTACTAGGTATACTACTTTAAACTGTATTTAATTAGGTTGTGACCTTTTGTCTTCTATTTTGGACTGGGAGTGAAACAAAAATTGAATGCACTTCGTAAAATCTTATCAACGGGCAGCGTATATTTGTAAACTGTTGCGTTGGTGAGCTGCTATCTATCTCTATTTATTCCAAACATCTCAGATTCAATAAATGTGGCGTTGTTGAGGTGCGGTTATATTAGTGCTATTTATACTTATTCTCTTTACGCTCAAGCTGCACCTTTGATGCTCTGTTAACCCAACAATGGATATAATATTATTTAAGGTTTAGGAATCAAAAATAAATAAAACAAAATATTTTAATAATGATAATCATTTATTGATAACACATTTATCCAAATCGACATTTGTGATATTTTTATTTTATATTTTTGGGGTTATGCCGTATCCAGTGGAACTGTAGTGACTTCGCCTAAAATATCTTTTGTAACTCGCCACCATGTCCTGTTGAGTATGAAATATCCAGTTAAAGCTCTGCTAAGTTCAATTAACACAGCAGTTTATACATTAAGCGTGCTCTAATCCTGGTTTATATATTGCCTTTTTTTAAAAAAGAATTGACTTATATACCTTCTTCAAATACCTCATCTAAAAATGTAGCTGGAGCATGTGTATCGTTAAATCGCCCCCAGCTAAGGTACCAAACTACCGTCATTACGTGTGCGCAACATCCTACTGTCCTTTTGCCTACAATACAACTGCAGCAATAGCCAACTAAACAACTTAGTGAGTTGGCTATATTGGTGTCACGGCTGACTAAAATGTAAACAAAATAGGAGCGTCCACCAACGTGTCTAGACTTAATACGTCCTCTAAGCAGATAATTGTTTAAACATAATACAAGGGGAACATCTTCATCT